TGATATTAAGCATTAAGTTTTAAGTAACCAAAGAATTTTATTTTTCATCTTCTTATCATTTAAAGTATTACTTTTCAGAGTATTAAATTTGAATTGGCTAAAAAATTCAAATAAGCAATGGAGTGGCACCAACTTAATAGAGTTCAAAAAGATTCGAGTACGCGTGTACTTAAAAAGAAAAAAAGCCAATTTTTAATTAATAAATGAGTTTTTTTTTTTTAAATTATTAACGATAAAATTCGTATATTCTTCTATTATTTATTGCTTTTAAATATAGAATTGATAATTTAAAAAAAAAAAAAATTTATATTCGCGACCTACCAGTTGAAAAACAGTGACGTAGTATGAAAGAAAGTGGCTCATAAGTCAATTAACTGAGTGAATTTACTTTTCTACCATCTCGGTAACTAACTTTTGGGTCTTCTTGCATATTAAAATATTCGTGTAAATTGTTAATTATAATTTAAATCAGAACTATGAGTATGTAAATAAGCAGTTTGAGAGGAATTGTAATGCGGTATGCTCATAGCTGACAGGAAATTTTGAATATATCAAATAACTAACCAATGCCAAAGAGGAAAAAAACTAGTTATGTTGATAAATATTCACGTTTGTATACATCATAATTGCTGACAATATTCTTATATTTATTGAACATTATGAAGATTGTCTGTATCCATTCAAGTTCATGAGGTATTTCTAAACAATTAGTATTTATCTGTATAAATCCTACGGTATATATTCAAGATTTAGTTCTCTGTATCTGTTCAATATTATAGAGTTTCTCTATACCTGAACCTGTATTATAGAGTTTTCTTGAGCTTCTGTAAAGTTGAACATTATATAGATTGTTTATAAGGTTCACCTTATGTTTACCTTATGAACAATTTAAAAATTAGTATTTATTCTTTCATAAATATAATGGTATGTGATGAACATTTAGTTCTCTGCATCTGTTCAAAATTATGATATATGTAAAGAGCTGTTCAAGATGATGAGATCCTTCATCTATTCAAGAAATGAACACATTGAATCTGTTCAAGACAATAGAAATTTGCGTATTTGTTCGAAAGTTACGTTGTTTTCTGTAACTGTTCAACATTATAGGGTTATCTGTATACCTGTACCTGTATTATACAAACCTTTACCTGTTATAGAGTTTCATGTATCAGTTCAAGGTTATAGGATTCTTTACATCCGTTCAAGGTTATAACATGTGTTCAGGATTCTGGAATTCTGTGCCTGTCAAGACTTACGATGCATGCTTTAAATACAAAAATCTGTTCAAGATTTTAAAAATTTATTAAAAATTAAACAAGTTCAATTATGAAAATAAAAACTTTGATAACTTGGATACGCCTCCATCATCATTAATAATTTATATAAAGGTTAAAAATAAAAATATAAAACGGGCTTTTAATTTAAAAATTAATTAATATGATCAACAAAAACATCAAAATAAATTATAAATGCAAACCTTTTCCTTTATAAATCATTGGCAAAGTAACGTGTTCAATTTTAAAACAGCGGGAAGCCAAACTGTAGTGTATAGTAGTGTTATAGGAGTTAATTATAACTGTGAGTCACTTGTAAAAAAATTAAAATCTATAAAAATCAAGTAGAGAAATAAAGAAAATCTTTGTCTATTCATGTTATGTGTATATATAAATATATAAATATAAATAAAGTTTGAAAAATTAAAGTTAAAAAAATGATTTTTATATATGAGTTTTTATAGCTTTAGAATTTTTAAAATTCTTTATATATACAGTCGACCCCCCCCTATAACACTGTTGATTATTCCGTTTTATATGAATTCCGTGTTGTACGAGTCACTTAGATTTTACAAATACGTGAGCCTTTCACAGCCCGGCACATGTATTTGTAAAATCTAAGTGACTCGTACAACACGAAATTCATATAAAACTGAATAATCAACAGTGTTATAGGGGGGTCGACTGTATATATATATTCTTTTTTTAACTTTTTAATTTAAATTCACTGCAATTTATATAAATATATAATTAGTTCTTATGTAATTATTCAACTATATTTCTTATTCCAGTTAATCTGTATGTTTGTCTGTAATTTTCACAAAAGAATATATAATTGTTTATTTATTTGTATTATGTCCATTTTATTAAAAACATTTACATTATTAAATTTAAACTTTTTATTGAGCATTTTACTTTTTTTTTTAATTGATAGATTCCGATGTTATTTAAAAGTGAGTAATTAAGTATTTTGAATAATCTTATTAAAAAAATAATACCATGTTAATTAAATTAATTATCATGTTATTAAAGAAAAATAATATTTATTATACTCTAATTAAATTCTGTTAATAAATAAATATTAATTTTTATTAAAATTAATTGTTTTTTAACCGTAGTTTTTAGCGCTGATTGATTTTTAGCTTCCCAACCTCATTACATTTCAATTATTTCAGAATTGTTGGTAGGGTTCGCGATCTATCGGTTGAGGGATGAATATTTTCAAACCGATTTATTAAAATGTTATCGAGAATATTCAACCAAAAATTTTATTATTATTACGTTCGTCTTTTTAATATTTAATTGAATTATTTTCTTTATTTAAATGTAAAAAGAATAATTTAATAATAACTAGTTTAGTAATTCAAAACTGGTTTAGTAATGTAATTTTATTAAAATATAATTTTTTACATGGATAAAACATTAGCACATTTTCTATTGAAAACTTCCATTAAATTTTATTAAATTTATTCTATATCCAATGATGATAAACGAGATAGTAACACAATAAATTATTAAGAACTAATTACAAATTACTGTCCCTGGAAATGAATAAAAGCACAGCTGTAATTTATCATCATCATCGTCAAAGACAAAAATTTTTTAGAAAATATATTTAAAAAAATAATAAAATTATATATAATTCTTCGTAGTTTGCATCATCATCATCCTATAGAAGCGTAGGATGACGATGATGCTGCAAACTCTCTTCGTTGTTGTCATGCTATGAAACAAAGAAATTAATTTATTACTAGTTTAGTTCTTCGTTTGTTTTCATACACCATGTTTCATCATCATCATCATCATCATATGGAAATGTAGTATAGATTTAATATATAAATAGTTATGATTATTATCACGTTGATACAGGAAAAATGGTAAATCAATGTTATGTTTTTATATCCGCCTGTAGAAGTATATGAAAAATATAACTTTTATCATCCTCATCATCATCCTATAAAACACATGAAAACTATAGGTGTTTTATTGTCATCATTCTGTAGAAATGAATAAAAAACAAACAAAAAAACTGGAAAAAAGACAAAGATCATCATCCTTTACCATAAATTCTAGAGTTTAGACTCTATATTTTAGTAAAATTATATTGTGATACTATAAACAAGTATATAATTATTTTTCATCATCAACCTCATCATAGTAACACAACTTTAAATTAAGTTTTTCTTTTTTTTTTAATCATTTTTATCTTTTAAATTTAATATTTTATAAAACAGAAAACTTAATTTTTCTTAATTATATTACGTATTAATTATCATAATTATTTATCATAAGTTTCTACAGCTTATAATAATTATTAAACTGTTTTTTTTTTCTTTATCAAACGTTGTAAAATCTAAAAAGCGTTATTGTGTTGATGTCTGTCCGTGTTTCCGTTTGAGTTTCAGTACTTTTCTATAAGGAAAAACAAATAAAAATTACAGAATTTTCTTTGTATAATTTTCGAGAATTGTCATATATATTTTTTTTTATTTTGAAAATCAATTTTGGGTTATAAAAGTACACGTGATGTGATAGTCATTCCGAGCTTAAGAGCTAAATCTAAGTGATAAATAGATAATAATAATAATAATATTAAATAAAAGCTAAGCGTAAATGAAAATAACTACGTATAAATCACCCTAAATCGCATTCAAAAATAATGAATAAATTTTAATAAAACGTAGAAAATACATTTAATAACAGGTCCTAAAAAAACGCAAAACAATTGCGTAATCACTAATTAGCGAGAGGCTAAACAGTATTAAATTAATATAAATCTAACACATTTAGCTGTTAAAAGTAATATAATATTCTTTATAATAGTGAAAACATTAGAAAAAAACGGTATTTGAGGCATTGTAAACAATCCTGGAACAGATACGGTGAATCGTATGTACCTTCAGGCTATGGAGGAACATACATAATATTACTTTGTATGAAAGAACGTTATTATTTACAGTAAAATGATAGTGTGAAAGTATAATTTATCACACTTATCTACTTTATAAAAAAAAACCACATAGAAAAAAGATCATCTGAAAAGTACAGTACTTAAAATATATGAAAGAAAGGATCGTCGAACAGTAATATGTATATAAAGGAAAAGGATTATTAAAAAGGAATTCATGAAGAACAGTAGAGGAAATAATCGAGAAATGGAATATTAGTACATAAAAAATAAAGAAAGGGTCATAGGAAAATAATTTATAAAAGAAACAGTAGGGGAAAGCTTCATCACGATAAAGCATGTATAAAAAAAATTAAGGAAAGTATCACTGAAAAATAATTTATTAAAAAAAAACAGTAGAAGGAAGGATCGTCCGAATAGGAATTTAAAGAACAAGAGGTAAAGGAAGGGATCATTAAAACATTTTAATTAACATGAAAGTTAAAAATAGGATCATCTAATTAAGAAATCACAACAAAAACAATGTAAAAATCATTATATAAGCTTATGATAAAATAATACAAAACTTTAAAAACCAAGGTATAAAAACATATTAAATTTTATATATGTACGGTACAAGTCACGTTTATACTGACACGTAAAATAAATCTACCGGTAATTCAAGTAATTCAAAATCTAGACATTAAAACAGTAAAACATAAAGAGAGAGAGAGAGAGAGAAAAAAAACAATGAAACTGTAATTCTTATATTATTTAAATAAACAGAAAACACCGAATGAGATAAACGAAAATTTAAAAGAAAAAAAGAAGAAATAATAAAAGAAATTGTTAGGACGATGACGTAATTAAAGTTAAAAAAGACGAGAAAATGTAAAAAATGTCGAATTTTTTGATTTATATATTTATTTATTAGCCTTAGGAGGAAGTTGACCTTGTCTTTGATACGTTACTTAATAAAAAAATAAAAAGAATTTATAGGTAGAGAGAATCAACCTGTTTTCCTTTCGATATTCAAAAGTCAGTGTTTATACAACAAGGACTGAAATACTTTAGATACGACCTTCAACTCAAGCAACAAGTCGTTATAAAAACAGCTGCTTTAGGAAATCTCCGGAATCAGTCGTTAGTGACGTCACTAGCTCCGATATGGTGTTCGTTTCCTGATGATGACGTCAAAAGGAGTGACGTGAATAGTTCGGTAATGTTCGGCAGATTTCGTTAACCATATATGGGCAACATTCGAAGACGAAGTGTGTCGATTGCTTGCGACGTATGATTTACGTCACGACGCTTAATACGTCGCCGCAGCGAATACTATAGATTAGGAAGAACGTAGTACGTAGGAAGATATTGTAGCGTCAATCACCATGCACGGATGAGGAATGGAGTAAATTGCGCACACTCGAATGATAGCGAATGAGCGCGAGGGGGGTACCACGCGGGGGCTTTGAATGAACGCCAAGTATGTAGTCTGTACGTTACGTCATGTAGTTTTTATTTCGTCATTTACTACACTAGACGCTATTGGTTAACAGTCAATCTCCTCGGTCCATATTTGGAAGTGAGAGGATGACGCTGTTCATTCATGGGACTGGGTGTTGATGTAGGGACGTTCATTCAATGGGACGTATTTGAACGTAGAGGAAAGATAATGAGACGTTCAGATGATGTCGAGATATGAGACTGAAAGGTTGTGGACGTGTTTCGTTATGTCTCGTCTTTACAAACTGTCAAGGTTGTGTCACATTTAGGGACGCGTAAGGCACACGTGTTTTTTTGTGAATACTCGTTGTTCGTGCCCAACCCACCCCTTTCTTAGTTTTCGTCTATATTGGTGTGTCGATTTTCTTTTTCTCTTGTGTTTTTTTGTATGTGTGTGTGTGTGTGTCGATCGGACTGGCTTGTTCGACTCAAAATCATCTAGCATGATTACGGACTGTGTTCAAACGTTGTGCCAGCCATCCTACAGCGAAGATTACGAGTGCCACAGGAGTTGTAATTGTAACGCTAATTGTAGCGATCTTCTATATTATTACTTTAAGTACCTTCACAACATCACCACGGATCCTACGAACGGAGATAGTCACTCGCCTGTTGGGGAGGGAGGTGGTGGAGGATTAGACACCTCAGCTGACATTATCTCGTTACTATCGGCCGAGATCTACATCCCTGATCCCATAAACCCTCCACCTCCTTCCCAATCCGTTTCTGAAGGTGAGTTACTCAATTTTTTTTCTTACTGTATTCACTAACTTCCTATTCACTTCCTGTTAGATTACGTATTGACTACTGTTGACAGTCGAGCCCTATCGATCTATAGAAAAATTACTTTCACTTCCAGCCGATTTTAATCGAGTTTACAATCGTTAAATCACTTAAGTAGTTCGTCTAGTGTTTTTATTACTCGTCAATTAAGTAAATAACCTGGTTACTCTCGCTCTGGGTTAGTAATACAAGTGTATTTTCTTTCATAATTATTCTTATCACCCTTTGAGTTACGTAGGAGGAGGAGGAGGTTTCTCAGTTGTTACCAAGGGATTTAGCTACTAAAAAGTATGGTAACAAGCTGTTACTGAATACACTAGCTACGATACTAAGTAACATTAAATCGACCCTAATCACACTTAAATCCCTTTAAAAAAACCGAATAACCGCTTAACCGTAATTATCCGACGTTACGTCACAATTAAAACACTAGTCACTACTACAGTACTACAGCTGTTACCCGAACACACTATTTTTGATACGTACTTGTAGTCACGTGGTATCGGGATTTACTTAATCCTTCTTTAGGTTCTAATGCGGTTGTTACAAATTCCAATCGGGATTAATTCTGATCGGTCCGAGTGATCGATTGCGGTTGTTTTCCCGATATCGCCGCGCCCTCTGTGACAGAATGAGAGGGAGACCACCGTCTGACGTCACACTAACCGGTGACAAGAGTAAACGCCTACGTAGGAAGAAGCTAAGTCGTCGGAGGTAGGATGCGTTACATTAATTGAGGGGCTAGACACGTTTTGTATACAGTTGTCATGATGTATTCCGATTATTTTTCTCGGAATTATGAATATCAATAAAGCAAAGAAAATAAAATAAATGGAGTGGAAGAGTGAAATCTAAATGAAATATTTTAATTTTCTATTATTTATTTACGTTTTTATTTACCCTTCTTACAGCAGTTTTTATGAAGGGGAGTGTGTGTTAAGTAAACACAATTTATGGATTAAATCTTTCAATTTTTTTTTTTTTTAAATTCAAACACTCGATTTAACTCTTCCTACTAAAATTCCATTTACTTGATATTCAATTTAAGTTTTTTATATTTATTCCCTCTGACAGAAAAAAATAAAACAAGGAAATTTACTGTTAAAAATTTATACAATTTTATTATTATTATTATTATTATTATTTTTAATTTAATTTTTTCTCGCTACACAAGACAATAGCCAATTTAAACACCGAATTATACCAATTTCCATCACACGGATCACCAGTATAAATTAGTACTAAATATTAAACTCTTGACCCTACTAATAGTCTGATGGGACTTAATAGGGCCTTATCAGTTCAATCTTCATAATTAATTATATTTATCATTCGTTGTAGATGGGCCCATTTTATATCTCTCATCACTTTTTATTTACTTGTTTGCTTTAATTTTTTTTTCTCACCACTCAGCATTTATTCCTCCATTCCTATACAACAGGCGCTCTTTAACACTACCTAGTGTTTCCATACGGTAAAATTTACACGTGAAAAGGTTAATTAATTGTATTTTTGAATGTTTAATTTAATTTTTTTTAACGATATTTACGAAAATTGTACAGATTTGTCGAAGAGTTTGAGCTGCTCTTCGTGTTACTAACGCTCTCACGTATCAACTGATTTCTCCTCCCCATGTGAATTTTGAGCACATCGCTATTGTACAAGACATTCAGACACGTTCAAGAGTGGGCTTACTCAAGCTTCTGACTGATTAACCGTTTATTATTTATGTATATTATACATGATTTTTGCAATTCGATCTTCACATTACTATTGTATAAATGTATCATTTTTCAGTTTCATTCTTTTCTAATCGTTTCGTGTTCGCTGGAAATATCAAATTAATTATCTCATGGAAATCTACCACCAAACGAAATTTAATATATTTATATATCATTTAAAATATATTATAAAATAAGTGAGTAAAATTATAATATATATATANCAATATTATGATCACAAACAGTAATGTTGAACTAAAATAATCCAATATTATGATCACCAACAGTAATATTGAACTGAAATAATCCAATATTATAATCACAAACAGTAAGGTTGTATCGAAAAAATCCAATATTATGATCACAAAAAGAAATGTTGTACTGAACAAAAACACAGTATTGTATTATAGTCACAAAAAGTAATGCTGTAAGTGAGCATAAATTAATTTTTTCCAGTTGTTTTCGTATTTAGCAAGATAAGTTTTCGATTAATTTTAAAATTGGCTTAATAACAGACAGCTTGGTTTTCTTTTTCAGTGCTTGATATTAAGCATTAAGTTTTAAGTAACCAAAGAATTTTATTTTTCATCTTCTTATCATTTAAAGTATTACTTTTCAGAGTATTAAATTTGAATTGGCTAAAAAATTCAAATAAGCAATGGAGTGGCACCAACTTAATAGAGTTCAAAAAGATTCGAGTACGCGTGTACTTAAAAAGAAAAAAAGCCAATTTTTAATTAATAAATGAGTTTTTTTTTTTTAAATTATTAACGATTANATAAAATATGGTCAGAGGAAAGAAAATCTGCGAAAGTCTAGGATTTTCGCGAAGTTTTAATGCATTTTTGTAATTTAATACCTCCTTTTAACGAATACCCACTAAATCGGGGTTTTAACAAAGGTCATAGGTTACAAACAACCGAAATTTATTCGTATGTATAGCCGTTTATAAGGCCACTTATCTAATTTGTTAACTATGTTTAGGTTATATGTTAACATTCGAGATGTGTCATTATGATGAAGCGAAACTGGTTATACTTAAACAGGTGTTTTCTAAAAATTACCCTTACGAAACTAGTAATATCATAATTACAACACTTAAAATGGCAGAATATAAAATTACCCTACCAATTACAGTAAAGAAAAGAAAAAAAAAACATTTCTTTAACTGATATACAAAATAATGCTACGTTAAATATTTCGTAACTTAAAAAAATATTTCTTTTTTAAAGAAGAAATTAGTAAAAAAAAAAAAACAAACGATTTTTCCTTACCTCGTTTCTACGTTTTTGGCATCATAATTTTGGGTTGGACGGACGTATTCTTCTGACGTCATCAAGGTCGAAGGAGGAGGTCGAGATACGGAAACTAGCGAAACGGGACCTCCCAAAATAGAGTACTATAGTGCCCACGCCCAAGGTACTTTCTACCATCTGTTTGAACCCAAAAATCGCTGTACAATGCTTCTATACAGTGAATAACTCCCAAATTTTCAGTTTTTTTGGAGGGTTGCCCCCAGTTTAAAACCATCGAATTAAGTCCACAAGTGTGTAAAAATCCTAAAATTCGATTTCCGATCAGTTTGTACGGACGTAAGATATCAATATAAGCTGTCAGCCAAGCACTTCTATGAGTTACAAACAATTATGACAGATCCACAAACCTATGGAGAATTTGAACAACTTACAAACCTCAAAAATATTGAAGAAAACTTTTTAATAATCTTGCTAATAATTACCTTTTTAAGCATCTTAATCACTTTACCCATTCAATTTCTTATAATTCAATGACCTTATATGGCTATTAACTCAACGATAATGTAAAATATATTGAAAGAAAATGTTAGAATAAATGTTTTTCTGAATATTAAGAAATATTTTGAGGAAAGGCTCTAAAATTTTCTACTGAGCCTTATAAGGTTTGACCTATATGCTACTCAACCATCTGCATAACAGTTACTCAAATAGAACGTTTAAAGCGTGAAGGCGCGTGCTAAACCGCCCTCCCTGGGTTTTTAAAACACTTAATAGTTAATTTGTATCCTACCGAGGGCCCAAAATACATCCGGCAAGCAGTAAAGTTTCATTTGCAACCCCGAAAACTATCTTTAAAACTCCAGCTGCGATTTCAAGTTACCCTTCTTCTTCACCCCCTTATTTACGATGTTGTGCATTCGCCTACGTTTAAATAATGTAAACCAGTTTAGTAGAAATTATTATTTATTTATCGGTAGCATAAGAAGGGGGGGAGGAGGAAAGAAAACAAAAATTATGAATACATTTATTTTACATTTCTCTCTCACTGTAAACAGTTTCCATTCATCAACAAGAACAGATAAATAACCTTGCATGAATGAAACTCGGTTACTCCCATTCATAAAAAAAAAATAAAATTGTGGGTAGAAAAAAATAATATTGTGAGTTCTGGGCCTGTGGAATTTTATCCAATCATTCTTTCCCTGTCATCCCCCTGTGACTAACAACAACATAATATGGATGATAGAGACCTGTATTGTGGATATTGTTATTCTTATCTAATATTTGTATCTGATAACAATGAATTAGAAACAAACTATTTTCTAAATTTTTTCTTTTAAAAATTGACTTACTTTAATGCCTAATATTAAAACTACATATATTTAAACTTTAAAAAATAAAAATTATAATGGATAAATGGTACTTACTAATAGATTTTGGCTTCAGATCATTATTTATCAGTATAAAATTGTATAAAATAGACATTGTTTCTATAAAAAATATTTATCACATCTAAATTTGTTGTAATCAACTACTGAACACATTTCCTTAACAAATTTTACTAATTACAAAATGTTTTAAAGTATTTTATATTACTAAAATTACATAAATGTATATAAAGATTCAGATGAAAAATAGACCGAAATTTAAACTCAAAAAGATTTTTGCAAATAATTCTTGAAGTCAAATTTTTTTTAAGATTCAATAAGACTGTTAAAACTGAAATGATGATGATAACATTAATGAATACTAATGTTATCATCATTATAGTCTAACAATTATTTAAAATATGAAACTTTAGGAAATGACTGTACTCAAATAACTGCTAGATTTTAACATAATTGTTTTTTAAAGTTCAATTATCAATTTTATATTTTAAATGTATCTTATTTGATTATTATTATGTTGGGTTTAGTGGGTTATACTCGGTTGACACTGGTGGCTGTGTACTATGCCGGACCAGAGTCAAGGC